ATATATATATATATACATATACATATATATATGTATATGTATATGTATATGTATATACATATATATATATACATATACATATACATATATACATATACATATACACATATACATATACATATACATATATATATATATACAAAGCATGTATCATGCACTACCCAGGTATTTATTCCAAAAAACTACCAAAATCTACAATTATCTGTCAAACATTCATGTTAGTTGAGTGTGAAGAAATCCTCCACAGCCTCTGCTTGCCCTTTAAACGGAGAAGGCGGGCCTATGAGGGGGGAGTTGACCGGGGAGTACGTGTGGCTGCTCTGCTGCAGTCGCCTCTTCATCGCACCAGATTGCGGATCACACCGGTTGACTACAGGTGCTCACTGGGGGGTTTAAAACATGGTGCAAGTAACGACAGTGAAGACCAAGCCGTACACGGACCAGAAGCCGGGCACGAGCGGCCTGAGGAAGAGGGTGACGGTGTTTCAACAGAACCAGCACTATGCGGAAAACTTCATCCAGAGCACTCTCTCTGTCATCGAGCCTGCCGAGCGCCAGGCTGCCACTGTGGTGGTGGGAGGAGATGGCAGGTTTTTCATGAAAGACGCGATTCAGTTGATCGTTCAGATCGCTGCTGCCAACGGGGTCAGTAGGAGGACACCTTTAGCTGTTCTCCGCTGTGTGTCACGTAGCTAGCTCAGTTAGCTAAGCAAACACCAACAGCCCCACAGACTGCTGGGTAGCATGTCAGCTAGCAAGTTAACGGTAGTCTTCAGTACAATGCTGTTACTTACTGTAACTTAACGCTACTCATACGACGTTACTGTCATATTATGTGGGCTAGTTTAGCTTATTAGCATAGCTACCGAGATGAGTCGAGCGTCTTATTGCTAAAGGTTACGATATGTTATTTGTAACGGTTTGCAAATAGCATTTAACACTATTTTAAAGATTTAAGGGGTGCACTGGTAAAATAAATAAGAAACCTTCACCCAATTCACTAGGCACGACAAGGAAAGCTGTTGGAGCATTGGTGGTATTCCTGTCCCTAGTGTTACTTGCCATTCTTTGATATTAAACTAGTACTCGACAATTCTCGTTAAGTCAGTGGACCCTTCACGTTATGTTAAACGACAGGGGCCACTAACACCCGTCTGGGTTTCCCTGCACTGGCTACGATGCCATCTTGAATAAACGTTGTGCTGTTTCATAATGAGCAGTACAGAGATGCCGCTGGCTGCCTTCACTCTGATGGCATGAAACGTTTCGTGCCAAGAGGGGGCGTGGCATGAAACGTTTCGTGCCAAGAGGGGGCGTGGCATGTAACGTGCAGCCAGTCACGTCGCCCTGCAAATGCCTGTAGCGTACATGGGAAAACGGTATATGCAGTACGTTTGCCTTTTTAATTAGACATTTCAAGCGTTTTACCATCGTATGCTTTTATCACAAGTATAGCACATATATCTGCAGACATAAGGGAGCCTCGTTATATTTGCACAGGATATTAAGGTTGCTGTCTAGACTCTCTCTCTCTCTCTCTCTCTCTCTCTCTCTCTCTCTCTCTCTCTCTCTCATGAGATGGCCACTCTCTCTTGTGCAGCTAGTGCACAGCAATGATGTAGTAAATGCAGGGTTTGTCAGGGATGCCAGTAGGTTGAAGTTGCACAAAGTTGTATTTCATTTTCTCCACAAGGGGTTGATGTTATGAAGGAAAGAGGTGGAGAAACTGGCATTGCCAAAGGTGCACAGACAGGGGCACTTCTGTTCATATGTTGACACAAAGCAAACCGTTGTATGTTTTAAAAGGGAAGTCCTGGATGGAGACACCATTTTTAAAATGATTATCTACTTATTCTACTATTATGTAACCTCTTGACCCTTGTGCCTTAACCTTTAGTAGTTTTTCTGATTTGTAAAGCAATTTAACACTTAAACAATATAGGTCAATCAATTTTATTTGTCACGTGTAATCATATAAGCTACAATTCCACTAAAAACGTCATCCTGCTAGTTTCTTTTGTGCATTAAAAAGAGTTTTAAATAGAAAAGTAATAGATATATGTGCAGTTCTTAGGATCATAGTGGCCTGAGTGTAGAAGTTCTTTCAGAGTCACTCAGTGCTGGCCTGGTGTATCCAGTACCTTCTTCTCAACCTCCACAGCGAGAAAAGGCTGTTATCCTGGTGGTTCTGATCCTTAATGATTCCCCTAGCCTTATTTGTGCAGCGCCTTGTGTAAGTATCCTTTAGTCAGAGCCAAGTATTGCATATTTATTTGCGAGTTGGCAATCTAAAGACAGTTCAGTTAAGCACACCAGTTCTTTTGTTTACCTTCGCATACCCGACTGAAATCAAACAATGGAATGACAGAGGTTCAGTTCACTGACGCTAAATCATTTCTTACTTTCCCCAAACATTTAGCCGGCATTTTCCTGCGCATCAACTGACTCTCCTTACCTGTGTTTGTGTATGTTTGCATTAATTCATGTGTCCCTGTGCGTTATGTTCACTCCTGCAGATTGGTCATCTGGTGATTGGTCAGAATGGCATCATGTCCACCCCAGCAGTCTCCTGTGTGATCCGCAAGATAAAGGCTGTGGGTGGCATTATCCTCACAGCCAGCCACAACCCCGGAGGCCCCAATGGAGACTTTGGCATTAAGTACAACATTGCCAGTGGAGGTGAGTGGACACTGCATTGTGGGCATTCTAGGAAACTTCAGTTGTCACATGAGTTTACAGGCCCAAAGCCTAATGTGTGGCTCTGCAATCAATGAGGAGAAATATGCTTGTTGTTTAATAACGTTTTGTTTTTTTGCCACATCATCTGTATCTTTCAGCTCATTGTTTCTAACAGCCTTTGACTTTGTTCCCAGGCCCTGCTCCAGAGGGCATCACAAACAAAATATTTGAGGTCAGCAAAACCCTGCAGGAGTATCACATCTGCCCAGAGCTGAAAGTGGATCTGTCCAAGATCGGCAAGCAGACCTTTGAAGTGGACACTTTCAAGCCCTTCACAGGTATAGTGGCATAGAGAGCGCAGTTCTGAGGGTCACCTGAAAGTTGTTTATTTCCAGCAACCTGCAATGTTGTGGCAAAGGTTGGTTTGGCTTGTTGACAGACGGCTCTTAAACATGACCTGGTTGTGTGAAATAATGAACGAGTGC